TATACTTAGGTGGTGAACAGTCCCTATGGATGGGGGGGATGAACAAAAAGTGATTAAAAATGCTGGCTGTAATTTTATATAGGATAGGACTCCTTGAGGAGATGAACCTTAGGCAAAGATTTCAGAAACTAGACACAGAAAGCCACAGAAGGCTGTAGTGGTTGAGAGCAGGGAGAAGAGTAGGAGGTGGGGTTAGAGAAGTTGAGTGTTCTTATAGAGTCTATTTTGAGTGAAAGGGAAGCCACCCACTATCCTTTTCCCACCAGATATTGGCTATCTAAAATGTTTCCCTAAATAAAACTTAGAAGGACACCATATAGCTTTTTAAGCAAAGAGAAAGTAAAACTATGTATCCCTGACCCTACTTATTCAGTAATAGACTTGGAAGGAACTGTTAAGGATAAAATGGCTTAAAGAAAAAAAAGGTTTACACATATAGGCATGTAAAGGAACATCTTGGGGAGCTACAAAAACAGGGCTTTTCGTGACTTTATTTCACCTGGTTACTCACAATTTAATAAGCTAGAGTTAATAAAAATAATAAAATTTCCCATAGAAATTATCTCTAGATTGATTTTTTTTATTATTTGTGCACTTCACATCACATAATGTTAAAATGTGATAAGTAAATAAGATCACTGAGTAAACAAAGTGACTTTTTTTCCTAGATAAATTAATGTATAATAAAGGTAACTTCAAAACTTTTTTTCAACCTTGGTAAATACAGTTTCTTCTCCTAATGCAACACTACCTTTAACTATCACTTATTTGTGAATTGTTAGAAAATAATGACTATCAATCAATTCAAGGTCTCTAGACTTTACGAATATTAATCAAGATTCCCTCTAACAAAGGCAACCTCTGGGAACATGTAGGTTAAAAGGCCAGCTTCAGAGTAAAATAATATTCTCTATTCACAATAAGGTCAGATGGAGTTTAGTCAGTCCCCCTGATGGCTTCTTTTCAATAGACAAACAACAAGCTCAAATAGAAAAATTGAAGGATGACTTCTTTTAGATAAGGTAATTATAATTCGTTCAAAAGATAATGCAGCATTTCAACTATGTTATTACTTTAAACTAAAAGTAGTTTATGATGTGCTTATGACAATGGAATGGAAAAGTCATCAATATTACCATCTTATGATTCTGTGTGTCTCTTGTATAACTGACTATCGCCTGAAGGTCTCAGACATAAGGAAGAAATTATTATAGTAAGGGTACTGAAAATGAGTTACTGGAAAAGGTTATAAAAACACTTTAAATATCTTTCAAACCTTAGCACCACCAACAAAACAAAATAAAACCTTTCAGAAAATGCACAAATGTTAACCCTCAGGAATGATTTAGTATTGTCTTACCTGAAAGTAGGAATATGAAGCAGAAACTCTTCAGACCTCATTTATCTTTAGTATTCTTTAAATTCAAAACGGTTTTTAATTCATCCATTTTTTTGGTCCTAAATTTGCCACTCTCTACAACCATCCTCTCCATATCTCTTCTGCTATCCATGAAACTTTAAATTTGCTATCAGAAAATCTGTATTCTGACTGCTTTCATTATCATTAAAGTAATGTTACAATGTGTTTTTAAAACTAATTGGAAATTGTTTTAAATTAAAAATTTTAAAGCCACACCTAAACTGGTGAAAAAAATGATAAAATTCAATCAGCTACATGCCTAGATATGTTTTGTAAATCTGTTACCTAGTTTATCCTTCAAATAAAATACAATAATATACACATTGTTTGCAACACCCTTAGAAATTCATCAAAAATAATAAGGTTGGTTGATATGTGATAAATACAGTAAACTGTTAACTATAGAACTTAGGAGGTAGCTATGTCATGTTTACTGTAAAGCTGTTTTAACTTTCTTATGTTTGAAAGTTTTCCTAATATTGTTGGAGAAAGTGTTAATCATATTTGAAACCTGTTTTAAATGGCACAGGAGAAAATCCAAATCTACAGCAGAGTTCTGCACAAAATAAGAGGCAAAACTTTGCTGCTTATATTTGTTGAGCTGAGGAGGAACAAGATTGCCAAAAACCCTTTATTTTATCTATTCACCTCCAGAAAGATACACAAAATTTACACTCCTATTGAAAAATGAAGGCAGGTAGAAAGGTAGGTTTGTTGAGAACTCTATAGCCAAAGAAATTTCTTCTGGCTGAATTCTGAAGCATAAAAATAGAAATTTCCTTTGTCTCTAAATAAAGAATGTCTCAAATCCTTGCCTAAACAGAATAACTCCATTTACAGTATAGATTTATTTCCTAAAAGGCAATAAAGCATTCCTTTCTTTGGATTGTTCTTTTTGGTAATGTCCTTTCATAGTAAAACTACTTAAGAATATTCAGACAAAATGTGAAGAACAAACACACAAAGAAATGACCAGCACACTGGAAATAATCTATTCAATGATGGGCACATGAGTTTATGTAGTATCAAAAGCTTTTCACCACAAATGGCTTCCAAAGTGGCAGGGGCAAGGCATGTTTATATGTGATATTCTAGTGATGACATTTTGGTAGTTACTTAGAACCTATTAACCCCTATTTTCCTAAGATAGAAAACAAATTATAACTCAAATAAATTGCTCAGCTACTAGTAGATACACAATGATCAACTTATAAGCAAACATTTATTGAAAACTTTCTACATGCCACATAAGAGAATATGAACGTAGACTGACTTCATGAAAGTGCTGGTTTAGGAAAGAAGAAATACAGATGAACAGTTACAAAAAGACTTAAATTAACTGCTTAGAGGGTTGTAGATCTCTGAGAAGACTTTCTGAACTTAGTCTTAAAAGAATGAGTAGTGGTTACCTACTCAGGAAAGAATAGGAGACAGTATTCCACACCCAGGAAGTAGCATAGAAGCAAAAGTAATAGGTTGTGGGCACTGAGCTATAGGCAGTTCAGTACTGCTAGAGAACAAACTTCTCTCTCCATAGAGAGATGAAGCTAGATAGAGAGGCAGTAACATCACCATTGATGATCCAGTGGGGATGTTAAGGCACCTGAACATTCTCTTGGCTTCACAAGGATTTTTAGAAAGGGAATGACATTTTTAGATTGTATCTTTACAGAACTCCCTGGCCTCTGAGAGAAGGCTGAACGCAAAGGAGACATGATGCCCAGCTAGACGAGTGACAGAGTGAAGACCTGAACCAAGACAGAGAAAGTAGATATGGTTCCTATTGAGACAGACAAAAGTAACAGATTTGGTGACTTCCAAGTATCTAGGTTGGGTGACTGTATGAAGGACAATCCTGCCCCTCCCCTCCCACCAACATATTTAATACCAACAGAAAATCTCAAATAGAAGATAATGAATTGCACTTTGGATGTGTTGAATTTGATACACCTCTGGGTTATCTAGGTGAAAATTTCCTGCAAAAAGTTATATACTTGTCAAAGGGAAGAGGCCTGAATGGGAGTTTGAAATTTGAGTTGGCAAAATATTAGGAATAACCTAGAATTACATAAGTAGATTGTCAATTTGGGTTTTTTTTTTTTTGTTGTTGTTGTTGTTGTTTTATCATTCTTATAGGTGTGTAGTGGTATCTCATTGTGATTTAAATTTTTATTTTCCTTAAGTCTGATGTTTACCTTCTTTTACAATGATTTTCTTCTATTCACATATCTTTCTTGGCTTCAATCTTTTCCCACGTTTTTAAGTTAAACTGTATTTTTAATATTATGAGAGTTCTTTACACAAGTCCGTTATCAGATCTATGCTCTGCAAATGTTTTCTCAGTGTGTAGCTTCATGGCATCTTTTGAAGCACATTTTCAGTTTTTATTTTGTTTTCTTTTCTGCATAGTGCTTTTGATGTCATACTTAAGTCTTTACCCACCTGAGCGTGGTAGCGTGTGCCAGTAAGACCAGTGAAATACTGGCAMCTCAGGAGGCTAAGGCAGAAGGATTACAAATTCAAGGCCAGCTTCAGGAGCGAGACCCTCTCTCAAAATCTCAAAATAAAAAGTAAAGGAACTGGAGATGTTGCTCAGAGGTAAAGGCCCCCTTGGGTTCAACACCCAGTAGCTCCCCCCCATTTTTTTTTTTTTTTGTAGTAATGTAATATGGTGTGAGAAATAAATTAATGTAATGAAAGCAGACAGAATTAGGAAGAGTGTATATAGCATGAGAAGTATAAAGGGTGGGTTGAACTCAATACAAAAAGGCACAGGGCCCTTTGGAAGAAACACAAGGAAAATTCCTAACAACCAATAAATACTGTCTACCAAAATAAGCAATGAAAACTATTTTTTTTTAACTTAAGATGGCTAGTGAATTTAGGGACAACCTTTTTATTCACAGCAAACCGATACCGGAACTATATCTAATCAACCTCTTTACAAGAATTCCCCCTGTGCAAGCACTTGAGATGAGCTCTGAAATCCCTAAGAACTCTTAAAGGTCATTTCTCTAGGTACAGAAGAGTCCGGGATTCCCGACACTTTCGATGACTAAGCCAGATCCTTGGGGGATTCCAGCCTCAGTTCTTGGGGAGTCACTGCCCCTCTGGGAAAACCAAGACTGCACTCACCGCCGGGTTTGCCACTCTGACACCGCGCCTGCAGGCAGCGGCTTCAACTACCGACCCAGAGGGCGGGGATTAAAATACCAGCGCTGGGGTAAACCCGGGGCAATTGAGGGGAGTCCCTCTCGTCCGCCAGCCCGCGCGAGGAAGGCAAAGCAGAGGCGCAGGGCGGGGACCCGCAGCCCAACTCGGGTCGAGCTCCTCGTGTGCAAAGATCCACCGCACTTACCCCGGACCAGAAAGGGGATGTTTAAGTCACTGATTCGGAGCAGCGTGTGTACGCGGGTTTTTTCCCCCAGAAGTAGGCTGGGGGCGTTCGACCGACTGCCCCCGCCCAGTGACCTTTAGCCTTCCAACCGCAACAGCCCGCGAATCTCCAGCATTGGAGTCCGCGTCGGGTGCCCGGCGACCGCGAGCTGGCTCTCCCACGCTTCCCGGCTAGTCGTAAAGTGCAGCAAAAGGCGCCTGCGTTTTGCGGCACCGTAGGTGAGGCCGGCAGCGTGGGACTTGGCTCAGCGCGCTCTGCCGCGTCCGAGCTGCTTCACCGGGAAGGCCAGCTGCAATTAGGACTTGGTGGAGCTCAGGGGACCAGCTAGCATTCTCTCATCGGGTAATTGGACCCAACTGGTGAGATTGTTTAAAACACGGCTCCAGTCCTTACTTGTGACTCGAGAATCTCAAACCTCATTCGTGCCTTGTCGCTCTTCGGGAGCTACTCTGTTGTTCTGTTGCCATCACGAGACTTCAGGTTTCCTMAGGATAGCTGATATTGCTTTTCTTGTTTGTCCTGCAGTCACCCAGTTCGAAATGCTTTACCTGATCGGCTTGGGCCTGGGAGATGCCAAGGACATCACAGTGAAGGGCCTGGAAGTTGTAAGACGCTGCAGTCGAGTGTATCTGGAAGCCTACACCTCAGTCCTGACTGTAGGGAAGGAATCCCTGGTAGGTGATTTAGGCTCCCGTCTCAAGAAAAGAAAACTACCTGACGTCTGACTTTGATAAACTAGGCTGAATAGAATGTCTGCTGCTTGTTTAAAATGTATCTCCTATTCATTAAGGAGCTGAGAAGTACAAGAAAGAAAGAAAATCATACACCAACCAAGTGACTTGAAAAATCGAACAGTGGTTTCGCTACTATAAAGAAAAGTCTCATATTGTGGTTTTCTCCAGCAAATAAAGGAACATTATTTTACACTCCTGGGGGAATAGTTATCAAAATCCCTTATTTCATGAGATAGCCAAGAAATCCTTTCTGAGTTGAGTGTTAATGAGGTGCTGACACCTTAATGAGTTGGTTATATATTCAGAAACCAAGCTGAAAGCCTATCCCTTTGAAGTGTTTCCACAGGGAATGTTGATCGCCTGTCTGTAACATTCAAAGAGATCTTACCTTCAAGTAGACATTTCCCAGTAAAGCTTACACGTATATATTAAGTGATCCTGGGACTAAATAACCAGAGAATTTGTTAGTGTAATTATACATTTACCTAGTTCTCTTTAAGGGCTCATTGTCAAACTCCAAGTAGGGTATGAGTTAAGCTCAAAAGACTTTTAGCCATATCACAAAATTTTTTCTGGTATGTGCTCCATATTCTTCTCCAGGTCCTCAGTTCACATTCTTCCCTGAACACCTTGCCTATACACAACTTCATCTACCATAAGTGACTCATTTCTAGACTAAAGTAAATTAGTATAAATTTATTTATACTAAGGTATAAATAAATTCATACCTTTATATCACCCAGTAAAATCTCAGAGTCACTTTTATGTCAACTACTTTTTTTCTTTTTCTTCTTCCCTTCATTTCTATCTTTTCTCTTTAAAACATTGATTTTTTAGAGATTTGTATGTACTTAACATACCTATACATACAATCTGGTCTCGACTACAGATAACTATTACACAGTGAGAAAAAATATAGAAAATTTTATCTGTTTTCTACAATGAAATGTTTTCCTTTATCATACTCTAACATAATATTTTTAAAAAGGAACCACCACATCATTGCTAAAGAAATCTGAATTTATGTGCTCTTAATAATGATTAGATTTTAAAGGAAATGGTTTTTAAACCATATCTAGATGGAGTTAGGTCTTGGAACAAGAGCCTCATCCCTCAAGTCATTTTGGCAATTTTCAAATTGCCAAAAAGGTAGTATTATTTATATGTTCTCTGGTCAAAAGATAATTGATCTAGATATAGTAAGTCTAAGAAATAATTTAAATAACAATTCATAATAACAGTGGGAGGAAGAAGCTATAAAATCATATGTTTGGAAAGAACTGAGATGAGCTTATCTAAATCATTACCCTTTCCTTTGACCTACTAAAAGTAAAAGTGGTCCCAAATGTAAAATATTTATTAGTTATTAATTATGAGAATACATGTGAGAAAGATTACTTCAGGGTGTGGTTATCAGGAAATACTAGATGGATTATATGGAATTTGAGCTGCATTTTAAAGTAGTATATATACACCAACCTTTTAAAATTTTTGTTTGTTTGTTTGTTTTTACATTATAATCCAAGTGCAAAATGATAATATCTGTTCATCATTGCAGATAAATGGAGAAAATTGCTCACAGCCAGAGGAAGCTAACTTGGACCCCCAGCTACCTTGTAAAGCAGAGATCATTATTCTCTGTCTATCCCCCATTTGTGGCATATGTGAGGTTCTACAACCAAAGTTCTGCCTTTGAGCAATCACTTACATTTCTTTGCTCTGTTTCTTACTTATAAAATTGAGATTAAAATAGTGCTGATCTCACATTGAAGTCAAGATTAAATGAATTCATATGCATAAGCCTTTTAGAACAGTGCCTGATCACAGAGTAATCCCAATGTAAATGTTTTAGTAGGGACAATGTTAACATAAAATAAGATTTGATAAAGAGCATTCCACCCTGAAGGAAAATCATTGTGAGCTTAGAGGTGGAAAGCACAAACATTTGCTATATTTGTCATTGGACTTCATTGAAATGGCTTTCATTTTTTTCCCAGTGTATCTGTTCCCTTTCTTTGTAACTTAAATAATCCAGATACCACCTCTTCCTTGTTGCCTTGTTTTCTTGTCTAGCAGCTGTGATTGAGATCAGGAAGACAGGAAAGAGGAGAAAAGGACTTCACACTTAAAAAATGAGGCCATTMGCTATGAGCTTTTTTAACTTCTTATCTGCCCTTACCACAAATTTGACTCTATCTTCCTTCCACTCTTAGAAAATGACTTGTGGGATGAGGCTCTTGTTCCAAGACCTAACTCCATCTAGATATGGTTTAAAAACCATTTCCTTTAAAATCTAATCATTATTCTTTATGTCAACCTATTACCATGTATTTCTCATGTTTTACCTCTGTTTCTCATTCTGAAATCATATTCAAGCTTTGATCACTTTGAAAGTCTCTTTTTTGAAACCTGTTTTCCCCATAGTTATTATTCTTTTTTTCTTTTATCAAGTATACCTTCATGGTCCCTAGTTCCACTTGTGTCTCACACTCCTGAAGGCTTACTCCCTTTTCTTAGAAGTATTTTCAACAATTCTTTCATAGTTGAAAACTCTAGAGAATAGTTTTGAATTCTTAACTTCTGTTACTTCTTTTGATGTAGTTGACCACTACTGCTAGAAGCTGTCTTTTAAGACATGACTTTCTCTTAATTGTATTCTTGCATTTCCATTTTCTCTGTCTCTTTGTAAACCCATTTCTCTGTTTTTAAACAGTATTTTAAAAACACTTTATCCTCCCATTTGTTTCTGAATACTACTTTTAGCCTCTATTCTTATTATTTTTTGAATAGCTGGTCCATTAAATGGTTTACAATTCAAAATGTACTAAAAAAGATATAATAAAACATAAAGAGATTTCTATTCCACTTCCCCTTCTTGGAGGCAGTCACTACTAATTTTTGTGTACCTTCTCGAAATACCTGAAAACAATTTAAACTTACCCTGTTCTGTTCAAAAACTGCCAACTTATAGCAAGAGTGAGTGAATTTTAACTTTTATGTTCATTTTCATGAATGATTAGGGCTGAGACTACAAAAACTGGCTAATTAGTCATTGGATGATACATAATCCAAATTTAAAATTATTTGTTAAATAGTACTGCCTGTTTTTCTTATTTTCTTTCTCTCACCCCTGACTAGACTGGATGCTTTTATTAGTGTCTATGTGCTAGTTAATTCTCCATTGGACAGCATGCGTCTTAAGAGCAATAGCAATGTATGTCTCATTCACCACCGTCTCCCAACATCAAGCCTAGAATTTGGTATGGAGGATGTGCATAAGAAATATTTCTGTAGTGAGTATATGAATGATTAAATATGTGGGTAAATTTGAAAATAATTTAACATCAGCCTCTTACTACATTTGCTATCTTTTTTAAATATTATTTTTTTGAGAGGATCAGCAATTTGTATATGTAAACATTGTTGTCTCATTAGACCATGAACTGTTTATTAGGTTAGAATAAGTGATAATAAGGAGTAATGCATAATACAAAATCATTGTTGTGAGAGTGGCTTTTTTGTTGTTGTTAGATCATTTATGAAGTATGAAATAGAATTATTACTAGCATCATGTGGTTTTTTGGTCTTTAAGAAATGTTAGAAGTTCAGCCAGATATGGTATATTCCTATAATCCCAGCAACCCAGAAGGCTGAGGCAGGAGGATCACGAGTTCAAGGCTAGCTTCTGCAACTTATCAGGACCCAGACTCAAAATAAAAAATAAAAGGGGTGGTGTAGCTCAGTGGCAAGCGTCCCCCTTGAGTTCAATCCCCAGTAATGGGCGGGGGGGGGGTTCAGTAAAGGCCATTGTTTTCTTCAATTCATAGTAATCGTGTGTGTATTCTCTTAAATATGTAAGTGTTCTGCAACCATTAAGCTTTCTGGCTCATAAAGTCAAAGTAAAGAACATAAAAATTAATGATTAAGAAAAAAGTACTTGGTAAAGTGAAATGAAACTATTTTTTATCTATAAGAAGTTTGTTATTGTGAATTTCTAGAACATTTCTCTAGAAAGGTATGTTTTCCACATTTAAGGAACAGGTTTTAGTCAAGTATTAGAATTTAATTACCAAAATTGAAATTTGGTAATTTCATTTGTTCATTTACTTATTTGTTTGACAGATATTATCAAGTACCAAACTTTTCTACTACAGCACTCCGAATAACTTTTATTAGCTAAAATTTGTCAACATATAAGAAATAGTATTATTTATCTGTGTATCCACCTTAACTTCATTGAATTGCATGTTACTCCATAGGAAATCAGTTATAAGATTGTGATCTTGCAAAAAACTTTTAACCACTATGATATAATCATCAGCTTATTAACTTACTCTCTCCTGGGTTTGTTTCTCTAGAGCCCCAAAGGCATTTGTATGGAAACTTCCTGTATGTTTCTCCTGAAACTCTGCCTTTCTAGCAGAAGCAAGGGAATACAATTTTAAATCTGAATTTCTTGCATTTATGTAGGAATGTTTACTGGTTTTATAAATAGTCAAATCATCATTTTCTGTTATTTCTTTTATGTTGCCTTTTATTTTAGTCAGAGTGTCAGATTGTCCCATAAAAATTTTAATAAAACCAGAACTACCATGTATACTCATTATTAATATATTTATTCTGTATTATCATGGTTTTGAAGTAGGAATCATGCATACATATTCTCTATTCATCCTATAATGTTCTGCCTGGTCAGTTACAGCCAAATATAGAGGTAAATTTAAAATGCAAAAGGCCTCAGATGTTAGAGGTCTCTTCCTCCTGGGATATTAAGATAGCCTCAAAGACAGTTTAATTGCAACATAGTATAGTGTGCCAGCTCATTGATGAGTTGTATCAAATGATCTGTGTTTGGATAGTTGCCAAGATTCACACCAGCCCCAAATACAACAATTGTTTTTATTGTTGTTGTTGTTGTTGTTTGTGTGTGTGTGTGTGTGTGTGTGTGTGTGTGTGTATGGAAATGGTCACCTGCTTTCCTTCATTTTTAAATTGGACTTAAATCTATAGGAAGACTTTTATGGAAGAAAATTGATTCTTGCTGATAGAGAAGAAGTGGAACAAGAAGCAGATAATATTTTAAAGGATGCTGATATCAGTGATGTTGCATTCCTTGTGGTTGGTGATCCATTTGGGTAAGTTTAAGCAGACGTTTTGAGTTACTTATTAATCAGTAATAATTATTCTATTACATTTAAAACTTACCTGCCAGATAAAAGACTGTGGTTTATCTAAGCTCTATCTAAAATTTATAGTTTAAAATTTCATTATCTTTTGAGATTAATGAGGGAAATCCACTTTGTAAGAAGATACCCATTATAAGTATCACAACATTATAAAATGTCAACTCTAAAATTTGTATCTTTGATTTTCTTCTTTAGAAGATGATGTAGGTTATCAAAGCCTTAACTAGTGTATCATTATTAAATATGTCATTATATTCTCCAAAGTCATGCCTGCCATTTGGTGCAGATAATTACAATCATCTTTGGCTTCCTTTGTTTTAGGCTTTTTTTTTTCTTTTTTAATCATGTAATATTTGATTATACTACTGTCATTTACGTGTCTTGAATTTATAATTTTTCAAGCTTCTGATTTCAATTTCTTATATCCATTGGGAGCCTTGTTCTTCCTCATTACCAAGAAGATGTGCTTCTACTTGTCTAGTCAAGCATCATCAATCTCTGATGTCAAGCCAAATAGAATAGTTTTTGTCTCCAGCTGGTGACCCAAGATTTATGTCACAGATTTAAGGAACATAAGGACAATTAAATCACTGTGAGCCCACCATCAAGAATGTTTCTCACAACAATGGAGTTACATGTGTATGTGTCTGCCAAAAAGAAAGTAATTTATATCAGTGTGATGGGCCATACTCTGCAGCGTTATTAAACTTAATTGGAATAACTCTGGATAATCACACATTTTTAAATATTTAAATAGTTTGTCTTAACCTCTGACATTGTTTTCTTAAACTTAAGACTTTCTCAAAATTAATAGTACCTATCTTCTTTTTTTTTTTTTTAACCATAGGAAGGGAAAATGAAAAATCCCATAGAGAAAATATCTTCTAATTCTTACAGAAGTTTTTCACTAAACACTGACTCCTTCTGCATAAAACCTGAGTTTCTGTAGGCAAATCTCTCACTAAACTTCCCAACTTGATATACTACAATTCTTACAGTCACCTAGTTGAGCAAACTCAGTAGCTTTTTACTTTATTGGCATCCAATCACTGACAATGTCCATTGCACAGTAAAAACACTACTGGAAGTGAGGTTTGCAGACAGATGCCAGACCACAGATTGTGTGTTCTAGTCCATAATGAGATAAGATTAGAAACTGGGAGAAAGCATTTAGAAATTTTTGTAGCTATCTAAAAAGCAAATTTTATGTCTACTGAATTAATAAAAATTGAGGGCTCATATTTGGTATCACTCCATTTCATGTTTTGTTTTTATAATAGTTTATTTTTATTGCATTTTACAAAACTGTTGTTCCATAATAATTTGGGATCTAAAACAAATTAGACTTTCACCATAGATAATTTGAGAAGCATTGCTGTTGAATTGTGTTTTACCAAGTTTTTCTTATTCTTCCATTCCTTTTTACTCTGGCTGCCACTCTTATACCTAATCTAGCCTCATGCACCTTACACCTTTTGGCTGGTCTGTATATAAACTCCTTACCCATACTGTAGTAAAATCCATATTTGTAAAAATCATAATTTGGAAACTCACTAGGTCTCTTATAAATAAGAAGTTTATTAGCTCTATCATTAGCCAGATATTAAAAACACTGCCCAACTTACCCTTCCGTCTATAACCTACCATTCTTTTTGAAGCCCACATTTATGCTAACCAGTTTGCTTTTTCCCAGTTATCATGCTTTGTTACCTTCATACTTTTGTTCAAGGTCCTTCATCTTGAGTGACTTGTGAACTACCTGTGACTAACAGAAACCTACTTATCCTTCGAAGCTCAGCTTTCCATGCTATAGTCCCTTATTATTCCAACATGAAGTTATATCTCCACTGATGGCATATATCATTCATACTCATTTCATATAGTACCTCACACTTTTTTTATAACCTCTACATTTACTCTTCTTTTATATTTGTAGGCTGTCCTTCACATTTTTATCTCATTAGCTTCCTTCAGAATACTAGATATAGAGTTGGCATTAATTAAATATTAATTGAATAATTTTGGTATATTTTGCTTAAGGTCAACAGAGAAAAACCAGAAATATCTTGAACTGACATTTATCCAGTTAACAAATGACTTTTGTACACCAATCTTATGAATTCCTTCATGCTGGATGATAAGACATGAATTTATATCTCAGTGGGGGAAGTGACAATAATCAGAGAAAAATAAATTTTAAATCTTGGCAGGCCCATGAAGGGAGAAAAAAGAAATAATAGACTTATTTATATAAGGTTATATGGAAAAGACAGTATCTGAAGAATGAAAAGGTATAGAAGGAAAGAATATCCTAAGCAGAGGAAACAGTAAGATTGTACTTATAGGATTGAAAAGGCTAAGGTGGCTATAGCATAGTGAGTTAGGGAAAAAAAGGAATATGTGAAAGTGTCACAGATATAGGCAACAGCCAGATCATGGTAGGCTTTGAAGGGACCAGGAATTTTACTTAGATTTTTAGCAGGGACAGTCTGTTTGACATTATTGAAAGAATACTAAATGTTTAGGTGAAATGGATTTTGGGGAGGCAGGACATATTTAAAAGGAAGAATGTCAGGATGGTCTGATAGATGGGGAAAAGAAAAGAAGTAAATGTGACTTTGAGGATTCCAGCTTTATACTTTAGTAGTAGGCACCAGTTCTTGAAATAATGAAAAGTGGTAGACAATAGGATTGGGGCAGATAATAATTAGTTCTTGAAACATCTTAAATTTGAAATGTCAGATAGACTGTTAGATTATCTGCTGCTGGAGCTCAGGAGAGGATTCATCCTGGGAATATGGCTTTTGAAGTTATTCATATGTAGATGGTATTTAAAGCCAGAGGAATAGATAGAATCATTTTAGAAGAGAAGGGAAGAACAAAGGACCAAGATTCAAGCCCTAGGAAGCTTGTACATTTCATGGTCTAGCTATAGCTAGGGGGGAAGGAAAAATAAGAAAATATGTTGTCACAAAAGCCAAGAAAAGACTTTCAAAATGGAAAGACTGGTGAACTTTGATATACTGCTGAGAGTTTGTATAGAAGATGAGGAAAGAAAAGTATGTTTGAAGTTAGAGGCATGATGTTTGGAGTTCAAAAGTGCTAACTTTATGGGGGAGTTGGTACTTGAGCTAGCTTTGGATAGGGTTCACAGGTAGAGCTTAAAGGCCTGGTGGAGGAAAGTGGAAGGGGGATTCCATGTAAATGAACAGACTTGAATTAATCATTAATTTAGAGATTGAGTTTCACTCTGTTGCCTGGGCTGGTCTCAAATTCTTGGGCTCAGATGATCCTCCTTAGTCTCTTGACTAATTGGGACTGCAGTCATGTGTCACCACATCCAGAATATGTTATTAAATCAAGCCTTGAAGAATCACAGTTTCAATAGATTAAATGGAGATATCAGGAAAGAAATGTGTAATGTGTAACACTTCCTATTTACTTGAATAAAACATGAAAATGAAGATTGTTCAGGATGTTTAATCTTAAATTCTTTTTAAAAATATTTTAAAAATTGTGAGAGAACACACAGCAAAATTTACCATTTTAACCATTTTTTGAAGTATAGTTCAGTGGCATTAAGTACATTTACATTGTTATGCAAGCATTGTCACTATCACTATCCATCTCCATAATCTTTTGAAGAAGATAATTAGAAGTCATAATTAAGCAGGTTGATGGAGTTCTCATCTGTACCCTTTTATCCAGATTATTGAAAGGAATATGGAAATTAATCACATAAAGAATGTAAATGACTCTAAAGAAGTACATCAATAAATCTGACTTAATCATGTAAGAGATGATAGTCTCAAGCATTGTGTCCTAATGGAGTTGTTGCATGGGGTCTTTATCTAATAATGGATTTTTTTGTTATTCTATTTTATATTTTAATATATCTGTAAATATATACATATAAATAATAAAGTGAACACATATTTTATCCTTACTTTATATGACTTTCCTTTGATGCAGTGTATACACACAAAAATGTACCTTTATTTACTTTTCTCCTGAGTGCCCTAATGTAGGCCATTTGATTATTTCCATTTCATGTAATGCACAGGAACAATGTTTAGCACCTAATAATTGTCTAGTGACTTTCAGCACTATCAGTAGTCCATTTTTTTTTCCTCCAGTTAAGTTGTTATTATATAAATTGATATGTACAGTCCCTTAGTTCTCCCCTACTTTTCCACATTTTAGATTGTTTCCTTTATGGTAGATTCTCCCAAATAGGTTTTCTTTTCAAGATCAAAAAAATAAAAAGTTGTGGACTTGGACATTTTCTAGCACATAAAACACACACTATCAAATTATCTGTCAGAAGGATGAATACCAGATTATGGAGCTTCCAGTAATTCATGAGAACATAGTTTTTACAATGTTATTTCAAGTTTTAGTATATTTTTGGACCAACAGCACCCATATGTCAAATATGGTGATACTTTATTTGCAAACTGATATTATTATAAATAAAATTTAAAACATCCTCAGTCTTATATATTCAAACTGGTTACTTTTATGTACCATTGATTTTTTTCTAATTTTGAGACAGGTCTTGCTAAGTTGCTGAGGCTAGCTTCAAACTTGTGATCCGTCTGTCTCAGCCTCCCCAGTTGCTGGGATTACAGGAGTACCACTCTGCACAGCCAGGTCTAGTCATTTCAAATGAACTTGTGACAGATATAATTGTAAACCAGTTTTTCATCTACTTAAATAACTCACCAATGACACATCTAAAATTGAAAAAACTTAATCATTCAGTTCTCTTTAATATACGTAAAAAGATTCTGATCAAGGTGATACTAAAAATATTCTTTGCAACTGGCATTTTTTTAAAGCTACTGTTAATCAGATTGATGCTTATTTTTATGCTTGTTTTTATTTTATCCATGTGATTGAAAACAGGCTTCCCTGGTGGGTATGTGTTAATCAGTATCTGACTGCCTCATGGGGGATAAGCCCTTGATCTTCCTGCTTGATATGCATTGACCAGTTGAAAGGTTCTGCTAGTTTATAAGTAGTTTCTCAAACATGCTAATGTTGCTTTCCCCAGTAGGGCCTGGAATTTTTATCAAGAGGGAACAAAGCCTTTAGTAGTACTATTCTAAACTGATGGGGTACATTTCACAGTATTCATATTTGTATTTGTGTATATCTTTCTGTACCCCCACCTACCTAATTTTAGTCATGAGATTTATCTCAGGAAAGGAAAGGCAACAGGCAGAATATTCATACATACATACATACATATACGTGAAACCTAATTATAAATAGTAGCCAAACTGAAAACAGTTATATATAAAATGACTGCTAGACAGATGTAAACCCCAAACAGAATTGTCAAACAGAACTGTAATATAAAACTGAGAGACTAACAAGCTATGCAAATTATGTATTCTACCTCATGTTTTAAAATGCAGAAACAAACCCTTCAAAATAGAGTAGAAACAAAGAATTGGATCTAGTTGTGCTACAGTTTAAAACTCCGAAACTGTAATTTTAAGAATTTAAAGGATTTCACTTATGTAAAAACTAAAAATTTGATCTCAAAAGAAGTAAGAGAGTAGAATAGTGGTTTACAGAGCCTGGTAAGGGTATATAGTGGAGGAGTGGAGAAAGGATGTTTAATGGGTACCAGGATGCAATTGCATAGGAGGAATTGCTTCTTATATTTTATAGCATAGTTAGATTCAGTTACTTGGTTATTTTAAAATAGCTGGTAGAGAAAACTTTGAGTATTCCCAACACAAAGAAATGATAAAGCACACCCAACTACTATGTATAATTATAAAACTCGACTTAAAAAAAAAAATGAGTCGTTCACAGTGGCACACACCTGTAATCCTATTGGCTTTAGAGACTGAGGCAGGAGGATCATGAGTTCAAAGCCAGCTTCAACAAAAACGAGGCACTGAGCAACTCAGTGAGACCCTGTCTCTAAATAAAATATAAAATAGGGATGTGGTTCAGTGGTCGAATGCCCCTGAGTTCAATCCCTGGTACCTCAAAATAAATAAATAAATAAATAAAAAGAAATAAATAGCAGTTGGGTATGGTGGTGCAGGCTAAGGTTGGAAGATCACAAGTTTGAGGCCAGCCCAGGTAACTTAGTGAGACTCTGTCTCACAATAAAAAAATAAAAAGGGCTAGTGTAGCTCAGTGGTAGAGTACCCTGGTTTCAATCCCCAGTACAAATGAATAGATGAATGGATRAAAGAATAAAATGTCTGAGGTAATAGATGTGCCAATTACTTTGATCTTTACATGTAATATTGAAATGTCTCATTGTATTCCATAAACATGTAAAACTAAAAATTAAAAGATTTTAAAGGGGCCATAGGACCAAAGAGTTTAAGAATTTGCTATAAAAGAGTTAAATTGTAAAAGAGTTAAGTTCTACAATGGACAAATAAACTTCCATTTTTTTTTTCAGTAGCTGCTTGTGTTATAGTTGTAGTTCAGCCTTGTGAAAGATGTGTGTAAGCTTATATTTTGTTGCTAAAAAGCACAGATAAGATGTGGGGATGTAGCTCAGTGGTAGAGTTCTTATTACTTAGCATGCCTAAAACCCTGGGATGGATCCCCACCCAAAAAAAAAAGAAACAAACAAAAATCAGATAAGACGTATGCAGACAACTAGTAGAATTTAAGGAAAAGTTTACTGATTGATCAGTTAGAACTTATGAAATAGAAGACTTCTACTGTTTTAAAAGTAAGTAGCATTAACTTTAATACAAATCCACTGATTTCTCACTACAGAGCTACGACACATAGCGATCTCATTCTGAGAGCAGCAAAGTTGGGAATCCCTTATCGTGTTATACATAATGCCTCCATCATGAATGCTGTAGGCTGCTGTGGTTTACAGGTAATGCTGTCAAGGCAGTTTTAAAATGGAATTAACTGAAAATGTTTTATTTTTCTGAAAATTGCAAGTAGATTTTAGTTGTTCATGAATTATATACTATTATTTGATAGCATACTATTTAATATATACTAAGTTTTTTTATAGCAAATTTTCCTATAACTTACGTTTTCTCTCTTTTCTTGGAATAGCCATCTAGATTTAGCTAGAGACTAATTTTGATTTTATATCCAACTTGTATGTATATTAAAAGGAAAACATAAGCTAATTATGTTGCTTAAGTTATCCTAGAGCCTTTTTATATTCATTCAAATGAGTTAATCATTATTGCCGAGACCCATATTTATCTATTATCTCTGCAGCATCCAGAGCATTGTTTTACTGGGTGAGATGGTGCATATCTGTAATCCTAGTTACTTGGGAGGCTAAAGTGAGAATTGTAAATTCAAGACCAGCCCGAGCAACTTTGTGAGACCCTATCATAAAATAAAAAAGGGCTGGGATATAGCTCAGTGGTGGTGCACTTGCAAGAACCTGAATCGAATCCCTAGTACCACAAAAAGAAAAAAATAGTAGTATGATGCTGTATTTCTTAAAAGAATCCTTAAAAGGTAAAAGCCAATCATGTTAGGCTTTTAAGCCAGCTTTGCAATTATTGATGTGTAAAGTTAGTTATTTTTAACTCCAACAATCTTCGTTTTGAGCAGCTAAAAGAGTGCTCCACAACTATTTTCTAAGATTTTTTTCTAAGCTGCTGACATGAGTTTTCCAATTTTGGTGTTTGTGTTCTGATGTTCACATATGCATAATCCTCGAGTTTTCCAATTTTGATGTTTGTGTTCTGATGTTCACATATGCATAATCCTCAACAACTATGACTTCTACATGACAAACAGTGGTTTTAAGATTTCAGTGATTGTTAAGACACATTCCAATTTCAGATAATATTACAATAGAAAAATGTGCATCTTAGACTCTGTGATATAGTGTGTCTTCTTGAAATGCATAATTTAAAGATAGATATTTACAAGGAGATACATTAGCATCAGACCCTAGTTTGTTTGTATCTGTAGAGGACACTGTATTTCCTGTATTACTTAGAACAATAGCTCAGTTTAGTTGACTTAATTAATTGTGCAGAACCAGAGAAAAGTATACATGGTTCATCACTTACTCTTAGTTATTATGTTTAAATCGGCACAGAATTTTGCTCTCTTTTGTCTAAAGTGCATACTTCAGAAACCCTCATCAATTCAAGTCTTTTTTTACAGTTTAAGATCTTGGAACATTGCTGGGTTGCAGCAAGGTGAATGCTCTTCATAGAAATATAAAATGTTAGTGCTATAATGAATGCTAGGGTTGGAGAACATGACTCCAAAAAGATATTCCCAAGTTTATTCAGGTAGGTAGTAGCAAAGGTTTAAAACTCTTTGATTCTTAGTCCAGTATTCTTCCATTTAGACAATGCTATCTTTTAAGAGTTGATGATTGCTGGAAGAATGGAAAAAAGAGGGAAATAAATTTCTATGTGATAAAGACGTGTAAACCTTAAGCTAGTGAAACATTTTTAAAACATTGATTTTAATTAGGAAGGTAACTAGCCCTTTCATGTTCTGCTCTAAATTATCATAGCATTTTATTTAAAAATTTTTCTCCTTTTCTTAAGCATTTAAAAAAAATTAAACCAAACAAAAATATTGACCTTTTCTTCTGATCTCCTACACTGGTAGAGAAGCCATTGTTCTCATGTCTAGAATGGATGAAGGCGTTTGAGAGAATTTACTGTGAGAATTGGAAGTTTCCATATAAGTCCCTAAATTTTTATCCATGTTTACAATATTAGTTTTTAAAAATATTTGGCTTCCTCATAGTTGTGTTTAGGATTTCTCTAAGCAGCCACAAATCATTTTCTCCTCATCTTGGTTTTATTATCTAATCTGGATGTGAAATGATTTACTTGTATCAAAAACAGGAAGTGCCTTTCTAGATTCTGTGGACTGGTGAAATTTCTGCAACAATATATATTTTGTACCACTCAAATCATTAGTGTCCTAGAAAAAAAAAAGGTAATTATTGATTCTTCTTTTTTTTTTTTGTAATGTAAAATGCCTTAAAAGATCACTTAAGTTGTCCCTCAGTGTCTTGGTTCCAAGATCCCTGTAAATACTAGATTTGTGAATGTTCAAGTCCCTTATATGGAATGGTGTAGTATTTACATGTGTAGCTACACACATCTCCTGTTATTTTAAATCATTTCTAGATTACTTATAATACCTGGTACGATGTAAGTATGTATTAATAGCTGGTAGGCTGTATTATTTAGGGAATAATGACAAGAAAAACACAGAAGTAGTTTTCCCCCAAATATTTTTGATCTGTAGTTAGTTGATATCCTGCAATATGCAAGAACTTTGGCAAGTTCCCTTCCTTACCATAGCTGGCCTTTTTCTCTTTACTATTTACACTAGTATTTATAGAAAAATAATAGTCTTAATGAATGGTTCTCACACTTTAGTATTCCTTAGAGTCACCTAGAGGTCTAGTAAGGCTACTGAGTCTTAACCTTACACTTTCTGATACGGTAAATCTGGGATGGGATATAAGAAGTTACATTTCTAACAGACACTCAGGTGATACTGAAGTTACTGATACAGCTACTACACTGAAAACCAACAACCTAGATGAATAAAAAATTTAGAAAGGGAAAGAATTGTATTCTATTTCTTGTAGCATAGCAGGATTGGAAAAATAAATTACAGTATCTAGAAATAGCCTTGCCAAATGTAGAAATGTTATAGGTTACCTTGTCATGCTCTCTTGCTTAAGATTTTAAAAGGGAAGTAGATACTACTTTCAAAATGCATTCTGTCATCTCTGTGAAAGAGCTTTCCCATGATTTCAAAAACAGACATCTAGTTTGTTAAGCATAGGTACCACTTTGTGTGCTGTGCTAGACCTGAACAATTCATGCTTTCCATCATCTTTGCCTCAGGTTCAAGAGTAGTAGTATGAAATTCCTAACCTAAGAATGGGAACAGACTTTTAAGTTATCAGTTTATCGATCCTTTTTGAGCTATTCTATTGATTTGTTGTTTTCTAAAGGAATAGTATGGAGAGTTTAGAATCAAATCATTTTTTATTACATTTGCAGTTTATTATTCAACAAAAGATTCTTGTTTATCAGTATTTATGATGATTGGTATTGACATAACTAACACTTTTGTATATGCATACAATCACCTATATATAGGTAGTTTTATATACTATATTACAGACGTGCTATAAAAATAAAATTCCTCTATAATCTCAGTGACTTGGGAGGGTGAGGATTACAAGTTTGAGGCCAGCCTCAGCAATTTAGTGAGACCCTCAATTTAGCTAGATGCTGTCTCAAAATTTTAAAAAGTACTGGGGATGTAACTCAGTAGTAAAGTATCCTTGTGGGTCTTTGAGTTCAATTTCTAGTACCATAAATAGGTAATTTAAAAATTCCTTACCACAAACCCCATATTCCTAATGAAAGTTTTTCTTATAAAATGTAAACTATACGAGAGGCTTCCAAGTTAGACATCTTTAAGATAAATAATGATTCATTCATTCAACAGTTAATTTACTTATAATTTGCTTATTGAGGTAAACTTGAACTATATAGACTCTGTATTTAAGGAGTTTATGTTTTGGTGGAAAGAAGAGGCAATAGCCAATAAAAAATGGTTGTGTAATTTTCTCATCATTATGAAGTGCTCCCACTTTCTCTGGTTGTTGCATGAGTGACCTTGAGTATTGCCATATGTGCTTTGGTTTATGTAATCTGCTTTGAAAAAAAATGTATATCACTTTCAAAAACTAGCAACTCATTTCCTTCTTTTCATACCACAACACTCATTGTGATAATCAGCATTGTTGACCTTGTAGTTCTTGCTGTTTGTTTTCAAAAGCATGAGTTGGTTTCATTGTTTCCCAAGGGCTAATGTAGGAATGATGACAGTACAAAACACTTAAATGGGTACTAAGTCTAGTAGAGCTCCACATGGTTATCTAACTTTAGAACTCATCTAGCTGTTTATTTTCCTTTAGTCATATAAGAACTTCTTTGACTACCTGCTAAATCACTGGTATATTAAAAGTTTTTTTTCTTTTCCTTTTAATTTCTACTTACTACTCTTTCTAATCATTATTTTAATAGCACCTTACCAATTCTTTTTCAGTTCATAGTTTTATCTTTAAACTGGTTCCAGTGTGCCATTCTTCTAAAAAAAAATTCTGGTAAATACTTTGTTTTTACTTTCTTTTTTCTTTCTTTCTTTTGGGGGAATAGGATTGATCCCAGGAGCACTTTGCCACTAAACTACTTTCCCAGCCCTTTTTATTTTTTAATTTGAGACAGGGTGACCTTGACCATATGCTTCTCCTGTCTCAGCCTCCTGAGTTGCTGGGATTACAGGAATGTCCCACCACCCTGGCCAGATGTTGAATTACTTATGCTTTTGCCATATTATTGGACTCTTTGATTTCTCGTATGTACACCTTTCATTGCAGTTTATCATAGTGGCATGCATACAATCAGTATGCAGCAAATATTTCATTAGTTGAATTGTTTATCTCTCCACCCAAGTCAGAGCTTGTCTTTGGAATTATGTGCTTTAAATGTGATTTTTTAAATTTATTCTTAAATGAATTCTGTCATCTTTATGTGAGAATATAAATTTTATAGCTCTTCTGTTTATGAAGTCAGACTCAACTTTTAAGTCTCTTTCTATATGTTGGCCAGGTTCATAATCTTAGTGTCAGCAAAAATCAGTATTAAGCAAAATTCATTTGAGATAAAAGCAACAACAGCAGCACAATTCTCAAATCTGTATTCTGTGTAGAAGAGAAAACTAGCCACTTTTTATTATGTGGTTTTGTGGGGCATGTTTTGACAATTCTGCTGGTTTGGCTTTCCCTCACCCTTCCTGGGTTTAACTGATTTGATTTAAGACACACATGTGTCGCCTCGTAGATTTAATAGATTTTTAAACAAAGAATGATAGAAAATATTTTTATTTGTAATACAAAATAACAAAAGCATTAAAACCTAATGATAAAATAAAGTGTTACAAAGATTTACATTTCTGAAAGGAAGGAATTATTAGTGGCTATAAGATGAGTTGGGAGACTGTTAGGGTCCCTTAGGTAAGTGGTGTTTGGGTTCAAAGCAACTTGATAGGGAATGAATTGAGTGTCAGGTTCTGTATGAATTATATAGCTGTAATGAATAGGAATTGGCACTTTGCAGAATGTCAGCAATTAGAGATACAGATTAGAGGCCAGTCAAGGATATTAGTTATTTCTAGGTAACTGCTTTATGCTATTCTGCTGCCTAGTTCATATTATATCATTCTTCCCCCATGCTCAAATTCTCTACTCTGTCTTTTGAAGTCCAGCTCATACCCAGTCTTTTCAGAAGTTACTTTCAAGTGCTGTTTAACGGGGAAAATAATGAACTCAAATTATCCTTATGCCTCATATTTGATATTTATTATTTATTGCCCATTATTTTTTTTCTTGTGCGTCTTCTCTAACTAGATTGTGCCTTATACATAATATGTAGATGATCTTGAGTTGAGGGTTTTTGTAGTACTTATTTTTTTCTTTAATAGATAAAATAATCCAATATCAAATTAGATAAACTGCATTCTCTAAATTACTCCAGGATTAAATGTAAAGGGCCCAGAAAGGTTCTTAGAAAGTAACCAATTTTATAGTCTTTAAATTCAGATTTGCAATAATGATGTTTTGGAGAAAATGATCACAGTACAAAGGTTTATAAAGCAACTCAGTATTTAGGCTTCTGCAACTTCAATTCTCCTCTCTGTATGGTTTTGCTCCAGTTTCCTTTTTATAGTTTACTGGTAAACCCTCTGGTTGTGAAACATAAAGAACTGGTCCTTCTGTTCTTTGAGGTACTGACATCTAAATGGTGAAACTGTTTGCATAATGTTCCAGGATTCATTGAAGAAGTTTGCTCCACAGCCACAGAAGTAGTTATAGTTTATAAATCAGGGTCCTGGAAAGTAGTACTTCTGTGAGGTTGTCTTTAATCCTCCAAGTGAGACAATTCAAAGACACTTTTACACAAAACGCTTCAGTTAGTGTTTCTATGTGACTAGCATCTCAATTCTCTTTTAAAGGACTTTTTACTTTCTTTTTGAATGAAATACTTAGTTATTTGTTTCCATGACTGTATTTCTATGTCTCTTAAAACATATGGCCCATTTAAAGCATTTATATAGAATTTTCTTCAACTTCGTTTTCCCTTGAAGTTTCTCATGAACTAATGTTTCAAAGTTTGATCAGAGAGGTGAAAAATCTTTTTTTWAAAGAATGTATACAGTTGAATATATCAGAATTAAGTCATTTGTATCAGAATTATAGTCTCAAATATATAGTAATATCATTAAGCTCACTCCAACAAGGAATGGAACTAGGTTATATCAGGGCATTGTATTTTAGAACATCTTCATACCATAAATATTATCATTATTGCATCATTAAATCTGTGTCATTTACTGAGTATTTACAGTGTGAGACACTATATATTTTCTGTTATTTAACCTATAAGATCTCAGTTATTAATTTTATAGTTATTTATACTCATTTTATAGGAAGTTTTCTCCCAAGGGTCAGGGAGACTATTTGACTTGTCAGCCAATACATGTACTAGATTACCTATATTAAATATTGGATAAATTTGCCTCTTGTCAGACAATAACAGTCAAACTTCAACAGGTGTAGGGCCATTCCTGTGATCTTGGTTCAGGATGAGTTTTTCCCAGAAATCCCACATTGGAACTCAAAATACATTTTTCACAGAAAAATTTTGTTATATGTGACAAAGAGATTCATGACTCTGAATACTTAAGTATACTGTGTGTCTCTGCACACTACCATGTAAACAGAATGGCTACTGAATACCATGACTTCTCTGAGAGAATACCTTGTTACACAGTTTTCAAATGGACTTGAGGAATAAAGCCCCTATTTGATAGGTAAGTTGGAGGCTGTAGCCTATAAGCAACATGATGAACCTTCTCTGTAGAACTTGAAGTTATGTTATAAATGTTGGTTATAGATTTTGAGACCTCAAAATATAAAGCCTGAGAAATTTTGAGCTTCTCTAAGGAAATATGGATGAAGAACTCTAAATACCCCTCCTTCTCTGACTTCCTTCCTATCTGCTTCCCCATCACCTCTTGAGTTGAAGTGGCTTCTGAAACTAATCTGAGAAGCCTAGGTTGCTGGAAGCAGTGGATGACTAACCCCTGCTTTAGGCCAGTTTCTTCATTTCCAGATGAAGAACACAAAGCTTACAGAAGCTAAGTGACTTCCTGAAGTCACAGAGCTATTTCAGGCACACAGTTAATTTCTGACAGGACTAGATGTGATGATCAGTGTTCAGTACTTTCTTGCTGTTATGAATGCCTTCAAGCATTGCTTAAATCGAAGAACTAAATCTTCACATAACAAGTTTAGTGTTATTTTTACCATACATCAAGTCTTTGAAAATAAACTTCCTTTTCACAGTGCCCAGATAAGAATTAATATTAGTATATCACTCCACTGTTTGAGTAACACTTTTTATATATTATTTGATCCTTCCAGCCCTAAGAGTAGGAGGGACAGTGTTTTATCACTCTTCCTACTTTAGAGATACAGACTTAGAGTAATATCATACAAGGTACACAGCCAGAATTTAAAACTAGATTTTCTTAGCATAAGATTTGGAATTTGACTCAACTTAAGTGAACTGGTCTGGCAAGACTGGGTCACAGAAACAAACTGCTTGATTGTAGTGATGGTGAATTAGAGTGGGTCACTTGGGTGGAAAGGGTGAGATTTGAGAAAAGGCCTTGATCATTAAACTTTATGGTGAGGGAAAATTTGCTAAGCTAAAGATGTATAAGCTTAAACAGTAACTGGAGTTTGTATGCAATTTGTGAATTTTATTGAGATAATATGATAGGAAGGAGCATTCTCTCACACCCAAGTTTGAATATTTCTTTTTTGTTATTAATTAGCTGTGTGATCTTAGATGAGTCAGTTGACCTTTCTGAGTCTTGGTGGTCTCATCTATAAAATGAGAATAATAATATTAACCTCATAAATATAATGATATTAACTTCTTTTGACAGTGCTCAAAAGTCTTATTTTCCTCTGTATTTCAATATTTTCAGTGATTACATATCTAAATTTGAGTTGGTTAAATGTTCCTATACTGACTGCAGGACTGCTAGGGACATCAGAAAGAGACCAGCTACTGTGCACCAGAGAACTTCTCTTGCTTTTTATTGTGACAGATTGATCTCTGACCCTATCAAGTCTGGGTCTCATTTTATTTATTTATTTATTTTTGTGGTACTGGGGATCCAGAGCCTTGGGCTTGCTAGGCAAGCACACTACCAGCTCTGGTTTCCACTTTTTATTTTAGTTATAAAGGGATTAAATTTTCTATGAATTAGTAGTGAATTGTTTCATCATTAATTAATGTTTTTATTTTTTCTAGTTATATAAATTTGGCGAGACAGTTTCTATTGTTTTTTGGACAGACACTTGGAGACCAGAAAGCTTTTTTGACAAAGTCAAAAAGAACAGACAGAATGGCATGCACACATTATGCTTACTAGGTAAGAGTTTGGAGTTTCCTTAAAGTCATAATATGGTATTGGTGGCATTAGAAATTAGCATTGTCATTCTGGAAAGCAGTATGGAGACCCTCCCCCCACTCCCAATTAGAAATGGAAGCACTATATGACCCAGCTATCCCGATCTTTGATATGTATCAAAAAGATCTTAAAGCAGCTTACTGTAGCCATACAGCCACTCAGTGTTTATAGCAGCATAGTTCACAATAGCCAGGCTATGGAACCAACCTAGGGGCCCATGAACAGATGAATGGATACAGAAAATGTGGTGTATATACACAATGGAGTTTTACTCAGCCATAAAGAAGAATGGAATTATGGCATTTGCTGATAAATGGATGGAACTGGAGACTCTTCCTAAGTGAAATAAACCAGACCCAGAAAGTCAAGGGTTCAAATGATTTCTCTTATACATGGAAGTAGGACTAAAATAAGGGGAAGAAAGAGAAAGTCTGGGGAGTAGGGGGGTTCGATGAAAATAGAAATCAGCGGAGTAAAGGAAGGGGATTGAGGGGAGGGAGGAGGGAAAGTGGAATAAATAGGACCAAACTTTCCTATTTACATATGTGAATATGCCACAGTGAATTTCATCTTTATGTGTATCCATAATACACTAATTTTTAAAACTATACAAAAAAGTCACAGTATGGAGTTGTTAGATTGATCTGATTTAGATTTTGTGTTATGGTGAAAACTGTTCTGTGGTTAGTTAACTAGAAGTTAGAAGGACACAGTCTAGCAATTTTATGTGTATGTGTCACTTTTTGTACTCTCAGGGAAACACTGTCTTCTCCATATACAACATGGCTATTCCTGCATATATACAATAGTTCATGCTGTTACCTCTTATGACCTGTGGATCCTCTCCAATTTTTCTGTATCTTACCTATTTGTCCGTCGAGGCCTTCTTTTTGTTAACTTATTGCAAGTCAGCAGACTTATATTTATTCTTACCATTAAATATCCTGCATCTTCCTACAGTGTTTCTTGAAGTTTATAGTATTGGTGCTTTCAGAATTACAGAATGATAAATCCAGAAGAGACTCTGAAACTTGTTTTACAGATGAAGTTAAAACCTGGTAACAGCAAATAATTTTCCCCAATGCCATGCAGCTAATTTGTGGCAAAACTGGTAAAATCCAGATAGTCAACTATTCATTGTTCTCTTCACTGAACCATCCTGTCCAAATCCTATTTCCTGTTTGGTATAGAAAGAGCTAGGATTGCTTTCTCTGTATAGCAACATCATGGAAGCAATAGGACATGGGCTATGTTCCTCAACAGAGGTCCTGAAAATGTACTGACTCAGATTTGTTAGTCCCTATTCTAATAGCATGTATTACAGAAACACTAGTACTAAAGCTTTATTCTCTAGCTGATGAGCAGAGCACACTAACTGACATCTTTGACCCCTGAAATGATACTTAGTTAGAATCAGAAGATAAAATCCCAGTGCTTCTACTTACTATTCCACTTACTGGCTAGACAATATCATGGAACATTCCTTAACTTTTGTCTTCATATTTATTGAATAGAAGAAATCCCTATTGCCTTATGGGATTGTTTAAAGCAGTACTTCTCAAACTATTTCTGATAAAGGACAAGGGTTTGTTTGTTTGTTTGTTTGGTTTTTATGTGTGTATTTTAGGTGTGTGTGTGTTTTAAATATTTTACGTCCTATTCTTTTATTTCAGTGTTAGATAAGTGTTTGTAAACAGTTACTCTTCATTTGTTGCTTTGTCAATTACTGGTAACAGAATGCTCACATAATGGCATCAGTCCTAAGAACATACTTTTAATTATACTGTTTTGTTGATACTGTGAAATCACCCAGGAGGATGAACCCATGATTTTATCCTCTATAATAATACAGATATGCAAAACATTGAAAAGATTTTCATTTGCAAAAACTTTTCATTTATTGGCGTAACATGTCCATTTTATAACATTATTCAATAATATATACTTTTGTACAACATAATCACTATCAAATTCAATCAATATGTCTTAATAGAAAAGATTATAACTCTCTTTCAATAATGGGTGGTGTTTCCTGTGGGGTACAAATTAGAAATTAATGTTCAGAGCAGGAGTTAGCAAACTGGTGCCCATGTGTCAGCTCTGGCCTGCTGCCTTTTTTTGTGAAAAAAGTTTTATTGGAACATGGTCACACAATTCATTTCTGCATTGTCTGTCGCTACTTTTGTGCAACAGTGGCATTGAGGAGTACTAGTAGCAGAGACTTGATGATGTTCAGAACCTAAAATAATTGTCATCCAGACTTTTGTAGAAATCTGCCAGCTACTGACCTGGAGTGAAATTTTATCTAATCCCATGTGTTGCACCCTGTATCTTCTCAGTGACTCTCTTTCCATCTGAATTATTTTATTAACTTGGGTTGATTTCTTTCCTGCTTCATAAGAACAGGGATTTTGCTTGTTTATTATTCTCTTTACAATATATCAAATTCTGGCACAGTGAAGCTGTTCAGTAAATATTTATGGAAGTTAATTGGTTAAAGTTTTTTTTTTAGTTTATTTTCTCAGACTTGCTCTTATTACCCATTAACACAGAAAATGTTTAACTCTTTCTAGTGCATTTAGTTATAGCCAAATTACATTCCCTTTATTCTATTCACTTTGACACCTAATTAATTCTAGATTTTGTTTGGGCCATAAGTATTTATCTGGCTTATATCTCTAACCCACAATTAGCTGTTTGATATATTTTCTAATTTTAGTTTATTGCCAGTTGGATTTAGTGCTTTTATTAGCAATTAATTAGCTGTATAGTTTTATCCTTGATTCCCATGAGAAGATGCTGGTCTTTACTTTTTCCTAAGCCTTACTATCAAGAACACTGTAATACACTTATTAGTTTGGTGTGGCCTGCACCAAAATTATGTATATCCATCAGTGGGTTGAAACTCAGAGTAGACTGWCAGGGGAGGACAGTCTACAGCTGTTAAAAGGAATTTTATTAAAAGAAGAAATACAAGTATATAAGTATATTTAATTGAGGAATAAAAATGAGGATTCATTGGTGCTCAGATACTAGAGTGGATATATGTTTTACAATAATGATCTTATTGTCAAATGACATTTCTGAAGCTTAAAACTGAGAGTTTTTAAAACAGGGAGAAAAGTATCTAAAAGTTAGGCTACTTTCTATTCTTCCCATAAGTCCATTAAAGATGAGGGAAAGGAGAGTCAGCAAGATACATCTTTTGGAAAACTTTGAAAAGGCAGGTAGAAAATGAGCTTATAAGGATATTTATATTACTGTGCTATAAACAATGTTCTCTGTTTAAAAACATAAGAAAAAATGTAAAAAAGAAGAAAATCATAGGGTATTTATTGAGCACTACTTCCATGCCCAATGTGGAATCAGGTTCTTTTGGAATACTAGGGAAGTATTAACATGAGTTCTACTCTCAGAGTTTTGAAATCTAGCTTGGAACTAATGTGTTATGCACACGAAAGTTTAAAAAGCAATTAAGTTCTATTGTATGGAGAAACAGGAAGGACAAACAAGAACTTTGGCCCTTGAATTCTCTAAGAGGTGTCTCTTTTCTTAGCTTTCCTGGGAAAAGACAAACAAGGTTAAACAATGTATCTTCCTTGCTTCATTAACAAAAGCAGGAACAGGGTATGAAGTATAGGATGTCATGATTCCAAATCCTCAAACCATAGATCTCATCATTTAATCATCTGGCATTCTCATCATTTAAATTAGTATGTATTTATTGAATGCCTCCTGTCAGCCAATAAACCATGAGAATAAATCATCGTAGGAAACCACAGAGAATTTAAAATTTCCTTATCCAACACCCATACATATGATGTAACCAGTGGTTTTGTAAAGATAGTGTTAATTGTATAGATATTTCCAAGACCAAAGATAGAGAAATTCTGAAGATTAAAAAAAAAAAAAAAAAGAATTACAATGTATATTGTTTAAAGCGTGGGTAGTAGGAGAGCCACCTAAGTAAATTTATCCAGTAAACATTTATGAAGTTATCACCTGGGTGCTTCACATTAAGCACTGTCACTAAGTCCTGGCACTAAGATGAGTAAGAGAATCTCTTACATTCTAAAAAGTAGAAGAAAAGAGGAAAATTTATGACTTGTGGGATGACAAGGAAAAAATATAGTATACCTGATTGGCTAAAGACTAATTTGCTGATACAATCTTATGTTCAACTAAAAAGCATTTGCCTGTAAAAATTCTCCTCAACTCTCTTTATTATAAAAATCAGATTCTATAAAGCATATCATTAAAAATATTTTTTAAAAATTGAAAATATGAAAAACGATCTTATTGTCAAATGACATTTCTGAAGCTTAAGGTGAATAAATTAATAAATGTGTTATACTTTTCAAAATCTTATAAATATCACTGAAAAGTAATCTTAAAGTCAACTTATACCATTAACTGTATTAGAGGGCATGTTTTCAATAACATTCCCATATGTGCCAGGCAAGTGGAAGTATTAAATAATGATATTTTAAATGTGAAAAAATATTTCACCACTGGTTTCAAGAACATTTAAATCTTACATATAGAGATTAATCTCTCCTGAAATTTTTAAGCAAATTCGTTAGTATCATTTATAAGAAAAACTTTTATATTCACTTAAGAAAGTTGTAGAAGTCTATCAAAGCTTCCTCAGTTGCACTATATTTATTTTTACAAAAACAAACTTTGGCTGAACCATTTGTTTTGGCATGTAAAACAGGAAGCAGCTGTTGCTCTTGCTGTTGTGTGCAGAGTTCCTGTGAGGATGTAAAAGATTCTGCTTTTTCACCTTTTACCAAATAATTCATCTAAACCATCAGTGATTAAAAGTGTAAAAGATCAAATATTTGTGATGTGTGGACTGTCAAGCTTCATGAGAGCCAGCATGATGTCTGAGCAGGTTCCTGGATGCCCCAGTACTGGGACAGTATCTAACACACAGTCAGTGCTCTGAAGCCATTAAAAGTACGAGTACTTGGTATTAAAGTATTTCTTCATAATTATGACATGTTTTGTCATTCATAAGAAAGTAGAAGTTTCTTTGAAAAATGTGATAAGAATCTTTTTTCTCTTTAAGTTGCATCCATTAATTCTTGTGCCTGACAAATCGGTCAGAATAGGAATATGACAAGACTTTTCAGTTGAGTCTATATAGTTACCAGCTAGTAAAAATGAAAACAAAGATTTTGATTAGCTGTTAGGTAGTGTACATGCCAATACTTTTCTACTTCTTTTCTTTGTCTTCTTTTCCAGTAGGAAATTAGATCCTTGCAGGAGGGTCTCAGTGCCAAGCTCATGTTTGTTTTCTAACTAGTGGCCTTTACACAACCACAAGCTGTTCTCTGATTTCCTTAAGAAAATGACTGGACACAGTGTGACCTTACACTCTCACATGAACATTTTGGAAACATTTGGGAAGAATGTTTCCACAAAATTTAGGTGACTCTTAATCAAAGTTTACAGTAGGGTTTTGGATAAAGTATTCTTAATTAAAATTAAAAGAATTATTTTTCATTTCCAACAGACATCAAAGTAAAGGAGCAGTCTTTGGAAAATCTAATCAAGTAAGTTCTTATTCTGAGAATGCTTGCATATATTTTAATGCTTTCAACTAGTCAATAAGTTCTACTTAAATGATATGAGTTCTAAAGATTACTGAAAATCAGCTTTTAAATAACAGCTAAACATTACTTTTATGAAATGGTAAGCAGTGTGATATTGCAGTGGAAATTGCAGTAGGTTTCATAGATTCACCCTGAGAACAGCATCTAATAGTAAATCAGCATTTGGGGGATGAATTAACACATTGGGAATCAAAAAACATGAGTTTGAGTTCCAAGTTTTCCTCAAGTATTGTGCTCTTGGGCAGTACATGTTGGTTTCTGAGACCTTATTTCCTCATATGTATATTGATAGCAAATATTCTTGTTTGCTTAGAGATGGTAGCCAATATAGTAGACACCACCCACACAAGACTCATGAGCACTTGAAATGTGGCTAGTATGACTGAGGAACTGAATTTTTCATTTAATTAATTTAAAATGGATATTCCATTTTTTGGAAAACTTGTAAGTTGTTTGGAACAACTTCATTATATAAATCTATATGACCATAAATTTTATGAAATTTAAATACAGATCAAGTATTTCCAAAGAAAATTAATATCCAAGATGTTCTATATGTATATGCCAGATTTCAAAAACTCAGTATGAATACAGTCTTTTTAATAATTTATATGTGAATAAATATTAAAATATATTTTGATTGAGTTGAATTAAATATATTATTAAAATTAACCTTGCCATTTTTTTTTCATGCCAGAGATTGAACCCAGGGGCACTTAACCACTGATCCACATCCCTAGCCCTTTTTTATATTTTATTTAAAGAAAGGGTCTTGCTGAGTTGCTGAGACTAGCTTTGAATTTGTAATCCTGAGGCTACTGGGATTACAGGTGTGCACCACCACGAGCAGCTTAACTTTGCCTTTTTAAACTTGTTATTGTTGCTGCTGGAAAATTCGAGATTATGTTGTGGCTTGTATTGTATTTCTACTGAATAGCACTGACTTAGAATTGTTTTGTGAGCTAGTAGAATAATCAAAACAATTTYGTGTTCTTGGGCAAGAATCAAGCAGAGGTAGTGTAGGGATTTCTTCTCCCAGAGAAAGAGAAGGACTAGAAATGTTGTCCCTGATGAGAAAGGTGATAAGCATTGTGAAAGCCGCAGGGGCCATTGGTCCCTACCGTCAAATAGTGTTAGTGGACAGGACCATTTACATCTGTGGACAGATAGGTATGGACCCTTCTAGTGGACAGCTTGTACCAGGAGGGACAACAGCAGAAACTAAACAAGCTCTTACAAACATGGATGAAACTGTGAAAGCTGTAGGCTGTGACTTCACTAATGTGGCCAAAGCAATGTTTGATTGGCTGATATGACTTTAGTACTATCAATAAATCTATAAACAGTATTTTAAGAGTAATTTTCCTGCTAGAGCAGCTTACCACGTTACTGCTTTAAAGGAATACACATTGAGATGGAAGCAGTAGTTGTTCAAGGACTTCTCACAACAGCAACTCTATAAATGTGCGACATGTCTTTAAATTAACACCTTGATTTTTACAATTGATGTTGGAAAATGTACATGTGACTAAAATATCTGAAGTTACCATGGAAATACCATATCATAGAGGGATTTGACATGAATTGAATATTAGATAATGAATCCAGTTACTGATGCTATAAATTACACTTATGTGCACTCATTGCTGAATATGGGAGAAGAGATGATCATTATATAGTCATTTAAGTAAATAAAAGTACAGGGGAATTAACATGTAGGAAAGATAAGTTATTGTTCCTGAAAAATAATAAAAGGCAAATGTAATTCAGTTAAATTCTATTAATTTATTGGGTGAAATATTTAGTTCTCATGTTAGACATGTGATTCTGCCTTTTCCTGAGTAAATTTTCAATCTTGAATGGTAGAAGTAAAAGAGAAGAAAGTGGGCCAAATTTTTATAGAGACAGTATTTTTTTTTCTTAATGGAAATAAAATAGACAACCAGATTTCCCTTTAAAAAGTCATAAAACACTAACATCTAACAATTTGATTACTATGATTATTAGGTAAACCTGGTAGGCTTTTTAGACATACAAAAGGAGACATATATCCAAGATTTTCAGTTCTTTACTCCTTTTGTTTTCTTAGGGGTGAATTGAAAAAAGAAATATGTAGTTTAAACATGTTAATAAAAAGATGCCTAGCATGTGCCAGGCTCTAGAATCAATTCCCAGCATGACAAACAGTAATAATAAAAAATAAAAAGACTATAGAACCTGATTAAGCTACAATATAGGCCACATTGACAACTTTTTAAAAATTATTTTTGCCTGAGGAATCACTTTAAATGAAGAACACATTGACTTAGACATTGATTCCTGTGATCATTTCAGTGAGATCAGAGGACAGTTGAAATAGAGCAGTGTAAAACAGCTTAACAAAATTTGAACATCACTGTGTTCTTAAAAGTCATTATCAAGTAGCCAGGTGAGGTGGTACATACCTGTAATCCCAGGACTTGGAGGCTGAGGCAGGAGCATTGCAAGTTGAAGACCAGCCTCAGCAACGTAGTGAGACCTTGTCTCAAAAAGAAAAAAAGGGCTGGGCATGTAGCTCAATGGTGGAGCACCTCTGGCTTTAATCCCCAGTGCTACCAAAACAAGAAGGGGAAAAAAAACAATGAATACCAAGTGAAAACTCCAGACAAAATGTAGGCTATACGATTTAAGTATACCTGGAGGAGTAATTGCATTAGTAAAGTATTGTGTAATTTCATGACTAAGAACAATGACTTCTAATTTTGTGCATATAGGGGCAGGAAGATTTATGAACCTCCTCAGTATATGCATGTAAACCAAGCAGCCCAGCAACTTCTGGAAATTGTTCAAAATCAAAGATTACGAGGAGAAGAACCAGGTACTCAAGACCCTGTATGGGCCTTCATATTATTATTCCTCTGGTGCTACATTGAGATAGGTCAATAATTTAATGTCTGACACAGATGTGCATACATATATATTCCTCCACTGAAATGTAAATGTTTTTGCATAATTCCAGAAAGTGAGGATTTTTCACCAGCTAATCAGATTTGATATAATTATGTTAATGTATAAATAATTTGATAAAATAGAGAACTTTGATTTTGGCTCTAATAAATGGTGAGATCAGTCCTGTAAAAATATTTTTATTTGCCTTATACTCCTTGTGAACATTGAGATCAGAATTTTTTTTTTCAGGGTAAAAACAAAGAAAATTTATCTTTATATTCCTAATAACTAGATATAGTGGTAGTATAGAAAAAATATGAATAGTCAGTAAATCTTTATTAAGGATATTGTCATATACTGTCTTTGAATACTTGTCCTCTGATAAGAAAGATAACATTAAGAAATTCTTGAGTGACATTGCATATTTTATTCTCATTAGTAATCTTGCTAAATTCATGAAACATAGTTTGCAAGAATGTTCTGCATTCATAACTTCATGCCAAGTTCTTTGCATGTCTACTTTTCCTGGTATAAATCATTTCCCCATTTTGATCACTGTTCAATCAGGACTATTTTCCCAACTAAACAATGAAACCAGTAACAGGTCAGCCCTTCAACTGTAGCACCATAGTAAATGATACTAAAATTCGCTAAAGTTGGTTATTCTGAACTTAAAGCATAAATAATACCAAAATGCCTATTACTTGTAAAGGACTCTATAGTTTACTAAATACTCTTATATCCATTGTCTTAGCCTTCACAACTACCATTTAAGAGTGGTGGTATTAAATTTTTGAAAATGAGAAAACTGAAGTTTGTCACATAGCTAATGAGGTGGCCAACCAGAAACACAAAGCTATGTATTTTTCTTATAATCCCATTGTTTTTCTGGTATATCTTGATTAATATTAATTTCAAGAATTTATTGAAAGTATAAGTACGTCACAAACATGTTCACTTAGAATCTGTTTTAAGATAAATGTTATGAAATTGTAAGGAAAATAGATACATCTGTTTATTAAATCCTTAAAATGTAAGCTTCTGTAATCTCTTGGAATTCTCAATAAAATAATTGATCTATAGTGAATAGCTAAGGTGATTTAAAGATAATGGGGGCTTCTTTAAATGTACTTGTTGTACTAATATGTTTGCATATTGAACAGGATGATGTATTTACTGAATTAAATGTCAGTATCTTTTTTTTTTTTTTTTAATAGCAATCACAGAGGAGACACTCTGTGTTGGCTTAGCCAGGGTTGGAGCTGAAGACCAAAAAATAGTAGCAGGCACTTTACAACAGATGTGTACTGTGGACTTGGGAGAACCATTGCATTCCTTGGTTATCACAGGAGGCAGCTTGCATCCACTTGAGATGGAGATGTTAAGTCTGTTTTCCATACCAGAAAACACCTCAGAATCCCAAAGCATCGATGGACTCTGAACATGGACATTTTCTACTCTGGCACATTAATTTCAGTTAGATATGGATATACACATCTTTGTATAACAAATTAAGCAGGTCTTTTGTTTTAACTAGTAAGTATAAAACAAATAAGCAAGAAGAAAGAAACCAACAATGCTTGATTTCCTGTGGCAATAAGTTTTTCCCCATGTTATCATTAGTTGTTGCTATTTTGTCAGCTTTTCAAGATGTACACACATGGAGCAAGTTAAGCTGGAAAACTTGTAAATTGACGTCCATAGAATCATTTTAAAAGCAGATTTTGTCTTTGAGAGCAGTAATATAAGGTAGTTGGTGCAGAGTATAACTTAGAGGAGGTGTAAGGTGAATCACTTGAATCCTAGTTTTAAAGGGTAAGAAATGTAGGAGTGGCAAGTAAAACAAATAAAAGAACTGGTAATAAACACTTCACATATTGATTTTCTTTTTTTCATAAAATGTCAGCTGTCCTGACTGTAAGATGAGTTAATCCTGACAGCGCCTGGTATCGGGACTTCTAAACAATGGTGGGAGGAATAGCTGTCCACCCAGCAACCTACTCAGAGCACATGGCATACAATGACTGCCTTCTGAACAGGGTGTCTTGGTTAGTTGACATCTTAATTATGTGACTCATTTTGTATTTTGGAAGTTATATAATTGTTGAATTATAAATGTTCAGCTAGCCATGTACTGTTGCTATTTGATTTTAAATAGACTCTTTCACACCAAGCAGACAGATGGAAAACTTKCTGACTACAAAATAAATTTTTAAGAATTCAGATTTGAAGACAACAAGAGATTGGTCAAAATCCATCATAGCACTTAATTTAGTAAAGATGCCTTCATATTTATGCAGGTAGTTACATTCTCCTTACTGGTTCTAGATAACTCTCATTTATTGTACTTTATGACCATAAAGTTTTATACTTTGGTCAGTTCAGAATAGAAATAGCTTTGTTACATGTTAGTTCAGTTAGTCCAGTTTTGAGTATTTCCATGGCCTAATGAATTTGACCTCTTTGCTTAGTAAGTTCATTGAAAGTTGAACAAAAATTCCCCAGTTTCATGATCTTATCAATTATCAAGAAATTATTTTTACTTRTTGGAGATAAAAGATTTTTATGTATGTGATACATCCCATTTTCTGTCTGTGTACATAAAAGGGGAGAGAGCTGAAGACCTTTCAGTACCAGTTCTACATTATTTTCTCCTGAGGTATTAAACCAAACATTTAATTTAAATGAAGATCTTCTTATTTTGGTAATGGTAGAATAGCTTATAATGTATATACCCTCCCAAGTATAAACTTCAGGCAAGTAAAATAACAACTGTCCAAAGACACTAGGGAGAATAGGAAAGACAGTAGAATGAATCGGACATAACTTTCCTAAGTTCATACATGAATACAGGACCAGTGTAACTGCACAGCTTGTTCAGCCACAGAAATGGGGTCCTAATTAGAGTAAGTTTTGTGCCATGTATGTATAATATGTCAAAACACATCCTACTGTCATGTATACTTATAAAGAACAACAACAACAACAAAAAGACTAGGGAGTCACCAAAAACAGGCTGAGCACTATGCTAACCTGGCTTTCCTCCTCAGGGCATTCCCAGGCTGGTGAAGAGTGGCTAGGATGCAAGAGAAACTTTCGTCTTATGTCTTGAGGTTTTAGAGGATGGGTTTGGGGGCTGCTAGAGGAGCTGGAAATTGAAGTAGTAGATCTTAGAAACAAAGGTGCTGTTTTAGTCAGCTTTTTCACTGCTGTGACTAATGGCCCTGATAAGAACAACTGTAGAGGAGAAAAAGGTTATTTAGGGGCCCATGGTTTCAGAGGTGTTAGTCCACAGAAGGCCGACTCTATTCCTCCAGGATTGAGGTAAGGCAGAAGAACATCATGGAAGAGGAGTGTGGCAGAGGGAAACAGCTCACATGACCATCAGGAAACAGGGACTCCACTTGCCAGATATGATTATATACCCCAAAGCCACACCTCCAATGCCCACCTCCTCCAGGTACCACACAATTAATCCCTATCAGGGGATTAATTCACTGATTGGATTAAGGCTTTCACAGCCCAATCATTTTTCCTCTGAACTTTCTTGCATCGTCTCGCACATGAGCTTTTAGGAGACACTTCACATCCAAATCATAACAGGTGCCAAATAGGGAGGAGTTTCTAATCTGTCTCCTTAAATCCTTGGCTGACTCTTGGACTGTACATGTATAGAAAAGACACCATGAATCCACTAAAAGTCATGACTGAAAGGCTAAGAAGCAGAGCAGAGATTGCTCTCTATTGCAAGAGAAGACACTCTCAAGTTTGAAAAGCCCTTCTAACAAGGTAGAAGGGCTTAATAAGCACTTGGGCTTTTCATCAAACCCACAGAATGGTGATATATTAGTAAGACTAGGCCCAGGACTAGGGTTCCGTAGTAAAACTAAGGATAAAACTTTTTAGATAATATAGAATCAAACCTTCATAAAATCAAGGTGATCATCCATTAATTTAAATGCATGCTAGAACAAAGCCTAACACTTTGAATATGATAACAAAATGAGTCTCTTAACATATTCACAATGACCAGAGACAATAAAATGTTATGAGGTGTGACTACATAGTTCAAAAAAAAAAAGAAGCATATAATAGAGAACTTAACATAACCTAGCAATTGGAATTAGTAGACAAAGATTTTAAAGCATACTTCAGAACTATTCATAGATAATTTAAAAAGGGGGAAAGGTGATAATGGATGAGTATAGATGAGTACTTTCAAGCAAGAAGTGGAAACTTAACAAAAGAGAGAAGAACCAAATCATTGAACATAGCAGTAGACTTTCGGCAGAATAGAAATTGTCCAACCTGGGGAAAAAGAGATTGGAAAGAAAACAAAAAAAGCATGAAATCTGCCATGTAGAGCAGTATCAAGTAGTTTAACTGTAGGTTATTTGATTCCCAGGAGAAGAGGAAATGGGGGGGGGGATTACATTAATAAAGGCCAAAATTTCCTCAGCTTTGGTAAAACTATCAACACACAAATCCAATAAACTCATTCAATTCCAGGTAGAATAAATAGAAAGAAAACCATACCTCATATAGCAATTAAAACTGATGAAAACTAACCATAGAAACTAAAATCCACTAAGGGCAGTAGTGGGGAATTCACTAAATTTTTGTGGTTGCAATTAAAATTTAACTAGGTATATTTATTTTTTGCAAAACTTGACATTCCTATTCTGTCTATAATTTAACCACTATATTAATGAAGTTGCAAAGTGGAAACTACATTATTTATCAGCAGGAAAAGGAAGAACAAAATTGGTTTTGATCTACTATCTTGAAGTCCCAATGTTTACCAGTTAAAATGGAAAGAGCTGAAGAATACATATATTTGTTTGTTCAGTAGATTTTAGCTTTTTAATACTATTTTGTTTTGCTGTGCTGGGGGTTGGACCCAGAGTATTCAGCATGTTAGATACGTGATTTACCACTGAGCTATATGCCCCCCCCACTAAATTTTAATGTTATTTTAAATTATCTTACAGCAAAATTTCCCCATAATCTTAACACATAAGATTATCATAGCCTGGCATGGTGGTGCATTCCTGTAATCCCAGCGGCTTGTGAGGCTGAGGCAGGAGGATCAAGAGTTCAAAACCAGTCTCAGCAACTTAAGGAAGCCATAAGCAACTTAGCAGAGACCCTTTCTCTAAATAAAATATAAAAAGAGCTGGGGATGTGGCTCAGTGGTTGAATGCCCCTGGGTTCAATCCCAGGTATCAAAAAAAAAAAAAAAAAAAGGTATCATCATTCCCCCCCACCCCAATTTCATTCCACTGCCCCTTTCTATTTATCTCGCTGCCCACCCACAATCCCTGGCAACCAATGATGTTTTCTCTTTTTCTGTAGTTTTGTCTTTTTGAGAATGCCATATGAATGTTTAAACATAATGCTTCCGAGATCCATCTAAGTTGTTTTGTGTATCAAAAATTCATTCCTTGGGGCTGGGATTGTGGCTCAGTGGTAAAGCACTTGCCTAGCATGTGTGAGGTACTGGGTTCTCAGCACCACATAAAAAGAAATAAAGATTCATCAACAACTAATAAAATATAAAAAAATAAAAAAACAAAAAAATTCATTCCTTTTTATTGCTAAGTAGTGTTCTCTTATATGAATAAATTATAGTTCACAAAATGTGATACATTTGAGATTTTTTTTATGAAGTCTAATATTTGGTGTGTTTTTTTTTTCTTTTTGGATATATTGTTGATGTACAATGTTCCAACACTCTTTGATAAAAACACTGTCCTTTTTTTCACTGAATTGTGTCAATCCGTTTGTCTTTTTGCTATTGCTTTTTTCTATGCCTCTTCCTTCTGTCATCGGTTACTTATGTCTTGATTACTTTAGCTTTGTGGTAAATATTAAAAACAAGCTGGCATATATGTTGCACACCTGTAGTCCCAGACCTGCTTGAGGCCAGCCAGGGAAACATAGCAAGACCTCATCTTAAAAAAAAAATCAAATCTCATAGGGTGATTTGGTTAACTTCATTTTTCAAGTGTTTTGGTTGTTCTACTTCCTTTGCCCTTCCATATAAATGCTAGAATGTCCTTGTTGACATCTACAAAATTTCAGATGGTGTGGATATTTGGGGGTTTATTCTATTTGGAGTTTGATAATCTTCTTTAATCTGTAGATTACATCACCAAACCGGGGATGTCTGCAGCCAGCCTTTCTTCAAATATTTTTTTTTAGCACTGTATAGTTTAGCCTCTCATTTTGGAACTCTGATAATAGAAATGCTACACATTTCTTGATCTCATAGGTTCTTGAGCTCCATTCATTGTTTTGTTTTGTTTTTGTTTTGTTTAAGTCTGTTTTCTGTTACTCAGAGTGAGTAATTTTTTTTTCATCTATCTTTAAGTTCATTGCTCTTGCCTCTTCTCTGTTCTGCTGTTGAGTCCATTCTGTATGTTTTTCTAAAATTTTTTTTACTGTTCTAAAATTTCCACTTGGTTCTTTTTCATATCTATTTCTTATTTTAACATTTGTTGAAAACTTATTTGTGATTGCTTATTTGAGTATTTTTATAATAGTTAACTTGAGGTCTTTGTTAGATAATTGCAACATTGATGTCTCAAGTCTTGGCATCTGTTGATTGATTTTCTTCTGCAAGTTAAAAATTTTCCAGTACTTTATCAAGTAATTCTGATTTTTCCCCCCCTCGTGGTACTTTGTTTTAGCACTCCTGGGGATTTAGCCCAGGGCATTAGACATAGTAGGCATATGCTCTACCAGTGAGCTACATTCCCCAGCCCTGTAGCTGGTACTTTAAAGAATTTTTTTTTGTAATTTCTTATTAGTACATTATAATTATACATAGTAATTATGGTATTGTCAAGTAATTTGGATTTAACTTGGGTGTTTTGAATATTATGTATAGATTCTGAGTCTTGCTTAAATTCTGTTGAGAAGTCTTTTTGTAGATAACAGGTGAGGTTCAGGACACAAGTACCAGTCTGCCTTCTGTGGCTGTGGTTCCAAGGTCAGTTCAGTTTTAAAGGCTACAGATCTCAGGATCTATCTTGGGTTTGTGCCATTTTGTTAGGAACTTAAGATGTATTCTATTGGAGAGTTTAGCGCTTCAAGTGCTTTGGTACGCTAAATAAGGTTGACATAAAAATAGTAGTGATTTGAGAGTGATCCTAGAGGTTCAGAAGCAATTTTATGAAGTTGCTCTTCTGGGTTTCTCCCCTTCCCCATCTTTCACCATATTCTGGTTCCCTGGGCTCCCTAGTATCCATCAGTCCTCAGGCCAGAAACTTGGGGTTCTAGTTATTCTACTCTGTTGCATTTGATTTCATAATTTTATGAGTGATTTGCAGCCTGACGCATGTGGAGGGGGAACAGAAAGAAAGCAAAAAGAGTTCGCTCTGCCCTTTTGAAACAGTTTTCCCAATCAGAAAAAAACTGTCTTATCTCAAAAGTTTTGAGCTTATATGGCATCCAAGCTGCTGGGCACCACCAGAGGATTGCCTAGGGAAGTCTTTGTTCTAACTAATAAATGTATAAACTTTGCCTTCTTTTGAACTCTATAGCAACCAGTATGAGCTATGGACTAGTTATTGCTCAAGAAGAAGTTTGATGCACATACAGGATAGATGATCTCTGTAGAGTTTAACAACATTATGATCTGACTTACTGCTTAGGGTGGGAAGACATTGATGGTTAATGCTTGTATGTGAAACTGATATGTGAAGCTTACATATTTTTGTTTAAAAATGTCATACTTTTAAAATATTACTTTGTGCCTATGTTCAGGAAATACTCTTTGGAATGATTTTGGTTCTGGATTGTCTGATCTCTAATCCTTTAGTTCTCACAGTGACTGGCTTACAAAAAATATAGTTCACTTCAGCAATTCATACAGAAC